TGCTGGGCCCCTGCGAGCGGACCACAGGCTGCCCCAGTCGGGCAGCAGAGTGAAGGCCCTAGGTTTGGATGCTGGGAACCTGCAGAGCGTTTGGCTGCCGCTCTCGACTGCCTGGGATGCTCACTGAGAGGCCCCAGGGAAATGCCCAGGAGGGGGGCCTGGGACTGAATCCTGGCTGTGGCTCCAGGCCAGCTAGGGGACTTCATTGTTCATACATTCCAAAAATATTTACTGGGACTGGGGTTGTAGCTTAGTAGTAGGACACTTACCTAGCATGGGTGAAGACCTGGGTTCATTTCCGGCACCCACAGGGGGAAAAAATACAAAGCACTTCCTGTGTGCCCACATTCTGTGCCAAGGTTGGGATTTTTAGCAATGAACAGGTTGGCTGTAGCTCTGCCCGAGTGGGGCTTTCAGAGCAGTGACGGGGAAATAGTCAACAAGCCACAAAATTCCAAGAAATGATATGGAGTTCAGGTCTGGGAAGGCACAGACTATGAAATATGGATGTGATGCCTGGAAGTGCAGCAGCCATTTTGTGACCATGAGGCAACAATCATAAGGACAAAAGATGGTCAGGATGATGGAAAAGACCCTGTGCCTTTGGTGACGTCATTGCATCATGGCATTCTTCGGGTCGGTGACATCATTGGTATCTTGATGATTCTTGGTGATAAGCCCTGGGCCACGATTCTCCAGACTTTGGGATCTAAACAATACATGAACTGCCACTGGAAGTTGGAGTTTTGTAGTAGACTAACTCGGACCTGAATGACAAAGAAGATCGGATGCCGAGGACATCTATTAGAGGCACGTTTTGACACCCTAAGGAACAAGCTTGAGTGCTAGGTAGGACAGAAACCAAGGGCAGGGTGAGCCGAGCGGCACTKCGGCCCTGGGCCCCGGGGAGTCTTGAAAGAGGCACCTCCCGGTTGGGGGTTTAGAGAGCTCCCTCTGGCAGCTGTGTGGAGCGCGGCCAGCAGAGTCACGGTGGCCCAGAGTCGGGAGAGGGAGGGAGGTGGCTGTGGCCTGGGTGGGCRGGAGCCGAGCGGGGAGCCAGGTGTAGACAGGCCCCGCACCTCCGCACGCCCTTCTGCACAGACAGACCTGTGTGCGAATCCCACCTGCCACCCGTCGCTATGTGACCCCGAGACGGCTTCCACATCCCACCCTGACCCGTCTCTCTCTGTCCCCMCCTGGGACGACACCTTCTCTCACTCGGCGTCTGCCACGGCCTCCCACCCCTGACGTCTCCCCCGAGGTGGCCTCTGTGTGGTCAGGATGTCGGCCACAGGCTGTAAACCCTCCACAGGGCACACGGGCTGTGGTCAGCACTCCCTCCCTCCCCGCAGTGGCTCAGGGCCCAGGCTCCACAGCCCCAGGCCTCCATTGCCCCCCTGTGAACCCAGCCAGGGAGGCGGGGAGGCTGCAGGGAGGCAGGGAGGCTGCAGGGAGGCGGGGAGGCTGCAGGGAGGCAGGGAGGCTGCAGGAGGCCTCAGTTCCCAGGCGATCCCAGTTGACTGCAGAGGAACCCGGGAAACAGTGTTCAGGAAGGATGGGGTGAGTGTGTGTGTGTGTGTGTGTGTGTGTGTGTGTGTGTGTGTGTGTGTGTGTGTGTGTGTGTGTGTGTGGATTTTTACTTTTACACTTTTGTCACGATGTTTTATGGCACTGGAGATTGAACCTAGGGCTGCTCCATCAGGGACCCACGTTCCTGGCCCCTCCCTTTTCCCTTTTTATTTTGAGACAGGATCTCCCTAAGTTGTCCAGGCTGGCCTCCAACATGTGATCCTCCTGCCTCAGCCTCCCAAGTGGTGGGATTACCGGCCCCTGGAGGAACCAGGTTCTTGGTGCTACCCGGGGGTCTCGGCAGAAGCCTGTCCCGACAACAGAGCACCCGGGGGGCAGCCCCCAGCCCTGCCCCGATCCTGACTGAGGTGGGCTGGTATCTCTTGGAGATGCCCGTGACTTTCACCAGTATCCTCCTGTGATCTCTAAATAAAACCAATTTATTGCTTTTCTAAACACAAAGGGCAGAGCAGGGGCAGGATGCACCCAAACAGAGCAACAGGGAACGGGGACACACAGCAGTCCCAGGCCCCAACAGTGACGCCGTCYCGGGAGCAGGCATGGCGCAGACCTCTGTCCACACTGTGGGGGTTTCTTGGCTTGGACCCCAGCTTTGCTCTTTGGGGGGTCTCCCCCACTTCAGTCTTCCTTATGGCCCAACCTGGGGAGGGGCTCAAGTTTCTGCACCTCTTTCCCTGCCCAGAGAGGCTTGGGGTCCAAGGCTCACGACGTTGGCAGTACAACCCCCTCCAGAGGGTAGGGGATTTACCTTCTGGAAAGTTCCATGCGGCCCCCCCCAGGGGTTCTCTGACCTTTGGTTCTCGGTCCCTCTCTGACCCTCTCAGCTGCTATCTATCTCATCCGTCGCCATCTTCATTTGACCCTCGCTTTCTGGGCAGAGGCTCTGTCTGAAGAACCCCCAGATTTGACCTATCCGAGGTCTGCTTCAGCGTTCCTCAGAGGCCCACGGGTTGAACTGTCGGCCCCTGGGCGGGGGGTGCTATTGGACGTGGGGGAAACGGAGACCGAATCCGGATCCTTGGATCAGAGCAGCAGGAGAGAACCCTGCACCCAGAGGGAATCGAAGCGCGTGCAAAGATGTTCCAGGGGCCTCTGCCTGACCCAGAAGGGCCAGGAGGCTGAGGCAGGAGGACTGCAAGTTGGAGGCCAGCCTGGATAACTGAGTGTCACTCTGTCTCAAAAAATAAAGTGTCAGGGGCAGCTCAGTGGGAGAGCCCCTCTGGGGTTCAATCCCTCATACCACAAACCCAAACCCACAAAACCCCCTGAGAGCTAGCTGGGATGTCCTATGTCCCCTTAGCCTTCAGAGGGCTCATCCAGTTCCTCAAAGACGCYGAGCCCAGCCCGCACCTGAGCCTGCTCTCAGGATGCTCGGCTTCCCATCCACCCTCCCCAACGCTCTTCTGTCTATTTGTCCCCCACCCACCTCTGAATCCATCTGTCTGTCCGTCCACCCGTCTCCCCATCCAGCAGAGGTCTTTGAGCGCTGAGTACGGGACAGGCGCTGATCTACGGGCTGGGATATTCCCGGGAGCAGACACAGAACAAACTCCCACCATTGTGGAGCCTGTGGTCAACGAAGAATGAGCAAGACAAACAAGTCATGCATTGTGTGAGGAATAAATAGGGGAAAATAGAGCTAGGGTGAGGATTCGGGAGTGGAGGGCGTAGACGTCTCAAGAGGGGAGGGCGGGCATGGAGATGCACACCTGGGACCCCAGCAACTGGGGAGGCTGAGGCAGGAGGATAGCAAGTTGGAGCCCAGCCTTAGCAATGGAGTGAGACCATCTCAAACTAAAAAGGCCTGGAGATGCAGTCCAGCGGTCAAGCACCYGGGTTCATTCAATCCTGGTACCAAAAAGAGTGGGGGGAAGATTGGGAAGGAGTCCTCACCAAGGAGCTGATAACTGGGCCTAGACTTGAAGGAGGTGTGGAGGGAGCCATGAACATACGTGGGGAGAGCACTCCCAGCAGAGGGAACAGCACRTGCAAAGGCCCTGTGGTGGGAGTGGCTCTGCAGGCATGGGGAATAGCAGGGAGGCCTGGATGACAGAGGTGGGTGAGATGGGGAAGAGCGGCCGATAAGGTCGCAGATCACGGGGGCCCATCATTCAGGGCCTGCAGCTCCTCCCACCAAGAAGCCCACAAGTTCCTTCTTCAAGAAAGCCTTCCAGGTCCTCTATGCTGGGGCTGTTGGCCTCACCTGGGGTGCACCGGCAGTCTCAACAGAGCTCCTTACGGTGTGTGATTTCTCACCACCCCACGGGGCTGTGAAGACGGAGCCCTGTCTGGGCATCCTCACTTGGTGACCCTTGGGTGTTTGGCCCTGGACCTCTGAAGGGCAGCTCTGCTGGTAAGGAGCCCAGGTTCTCTCCTCCCAGGCTTCCCGGGAAGTTCTGACAGGACAACCTGCTCCCCTAGTCCCCGGCCCTCAGTTATCTTAGATAGAACACCCACACATCGCTCCTGCCCGGCTCTCCTTGTGCTACTTTCCCTTGCTGTGACAAAATCCCTGAGATAATCGAGTTATGAAGAGGAAAGGTTTTTTTTTTTTTTTTGATTTACAAATTCAGAGGTTTCAGGCTGCACAGTCACTTGGTCCTGTCACTTTGGTGGCACAGAACGTCACGGCAGGAGTGTGTCGTGGATCAGAGTTGCCCACCCGAGAGTGCCCGGTCTCAGGGTCATTCCACATCCAGTGGCTCCCTCCCCCAGCTTCTCCTAACAGGACAAGCTGGGGATGGGGTGCGAGGCCCTTGCCCGAGGTGGGCCCCTCACCCTCGCGCTCTCTCTGTTCTCGAAGTTCAGTCCCGGGAATTCCGTTGCGACAGCCCAGAACACACTGACAAGCGGCGGAACCCACACTTCCAATGCCACCTACTTCAAGTGTCGGGGTGACGCGTTCTTTTAAGGCAAAGCCTGGGAGACCAAAGAGCCGCTGCCCTTGACCATGGTCATGGGGCGGGGGTGGAGCACACGAGGCCCGGAGGCTTCTCACCTGTACGGTTTGGACATTAATTCTCCCCCATAAATTCTCATGTTGGGCAAAGGAGCAATATTCAGTGGTGAAAGGATCAGACGGTGAGGACGATGACCCAGACAGAGGATTAATCCATCTGCTGGACTGCTAATTTGAAAGGGCTGCCTGGCTGGGTGGTAACTGAGGGCAGTGGGTCATTAGGGTCTGTATTTGGGCTGGGCACGGTGGCCCACAGCTGTCATCTCAGCTACCGGGGGAGGCTGAGGCAGGAGGATCTCAGGTTCCTCAGCGGAGGCCACGTCTATAAGTAAAACATCCAGAGGGCTGCGGGGATGTGGCTCAGCGGGAAAGCACCCCCGGGTTAAGTCGTCGGCGGCATGAGAAACAAAACTCTGGACACTGAGAGAAACACCAGAGAGCACCCCCCACAACCAGAAAAGCGTCTTTAATCACTTTGTCTCCTTGGGCAGACAGAACTGAGGACACGACCCTAAACTCCATCCTGCAGGTGGCCGAGCAGCAGGCTGGAYGCACCGCCTGGCCGGACCTCGTGGGAGGTTTAGGGCACTGATCTGGAAGAAGTGGGACCCTGAGAATCGTAAGAGGGATGTTTGGGTGGACCCAGGGATGCCGAACCACCGAGCGAGAACAGTGTGGGGACGGGCACCCTCCTGCTGTGACCCACCACCGTGACACCCAGCCCTCTCTAGGGCGGCCAGGCACTCCTGAGGTCTCACACCTGGGAGCCCCAGTAGGGCCCTCCTCGTCCCCCACCCCAAATGAGCAGGGAAATGGAAAATGTTATCTGTTTATTGCTTTCTGAGGCCATCTGTCATCTGAAGTAGAAACAAAACCACAAGCTTGGCACCAAAGCTTAGGGAGGATGGGTTTGGCTTAGTCCCTCTGTGTGGGCTGCAGGCTACTGACTCCCTATGACCCTCAGTTTCTTCATCTGTTGAAYAGGCCCGACTACTGGCATCTCCTGGGATGGTTGAAAATTGAGACTGTGAAAGGCTCAGCCACCGCTGTGCCTCTCCTCCTTTTTGGGGGAGGGTTTAGATATTTCTCTCTCCGACTGGGAACTACCAGGAAAATTCCCATTCGGGAGCCGGCGACCTCTCTGGGCAACAGGATGGCATGGGACGTGGCCTTCATTATGATCCCTAGGCTGTTGGCGTTTGGATGGACCCCCCCCCCACCACCTTCCTGCTCTGAAAAAAAAAAATTCCCAAGTTTTTAGGAGTGAGCGCAGCTCCTGTAATAGGGGCTGATGTCACCTCACCCGTAGCTGTTCCCAGGCAGGTGACAGGCTGGGGTCAGGTCAGACTGTGACCTCAGGGAAAGTGGAACTGTGTGTGTGGAGTAGGTCGGGCCTGCTGGACGGGAGAGGCACTGCCCATACCAGGGTGGGGATCCTAATGCCAAAGCCACTGTCCTGCAAGGGAATCTCAGCCACCTCCGGTGCCTCAGTCTCTGGCAGGTGCTGATGGTTAGGTTGGTCCCTAGTGACAAAGAACACCYGCGTAGCCTGCCTTTCCCATCCCTCCAACGTCCTCACTGCACACACTAGACTGCATGGGGGACAGCACACGCAGCAGCTCCCGAGAGCCGAGTGYGAGGCCCCCCTTCTGTTGAAACGCTCATCATCATGTTCAGAAGTCTGAGAAGGACGGGGAGTGGATCTAGCTGGCCGGACACCCCTGGGGCGGGTGGGTCCTGGGTAGGAAAGGCACCTGTGTGGACTGGACAAAGAAAGGGAGCCCCCCCCCTCCCCCAGGGCAGACCCAGCAGGAGGAGAGCGCGAGGCTTCAGATGGACAKCTCCCAGTGGAGAGCGGGCACATGTCCCTTTGCTCCTGGAGCGAAGTGGGTCCAGAGGGGGGTGTGGTGGGGAGGCCGGGCAGGAGGGTAGCACCAGAGGCTGAACTGGGCTGCGGGCCAAGCGGGGGGCTCCAGGTCAGGGTGGGGATGTCGCTACTACCGCTGCTCCAAGGCTCAGCTGGCGACCAGGGCCAGGCCCAGCGCAGCTCCGTCACCACCCCTGCTGTGGAGTCTGGGGCTTTAAGGCCACCCGAGGAGGTGAGCGTGCTCAGGTGCCCCCCTGCAGGAACTTGGGACGAGCCCACTGGGACGACCCAGCCAGTCCTCCTGGGCCCAGGGCCTCCATATTCAAGTACTGAGTGAGTGTCTCATGGGCAAGTGGCCATTGTGGCCGGTCATCTGCTGTCAGAACGTGGTGGGTAAGGACCCTAGGTTCAGGCAGGGATGGGGCGGGGTGGGCTGCTTCCTCCCGGAGCCACCCGGCTCCCCTGCTCCTTGAGACTGTGCTGGTCCTGGGGGGCCTCCCTCAAGTTGCTGCTGCAGGGCCACCTCTGTGGGTAGGCTGCAGCGTGCAGGGCCACCCCATCCTGTCGTCCACGGCCCCAGTACTGGCTCACCGAGCTGGGGGGGGGGGAACATGGGGAGGACATGTGGGAGGGGTTGGGGTCCTGGGGGAGGGACTGGAAGCCCTGGTCCAGACGCCCCCAGACAGGAGGGGCGACAGCACGGCTTGTCTACTCGGAGGCCTGGGACTTGCTCATTTAGCATCTTGACCCAGGAGTGGGGTGTCACCGCTGTGTGGGACACGGCTCAGCTGAGCCCCTCCTGCCAGCCATTTCTTTTGTGAGGCCCAGGGCATTTTTCTGGCCCTTCCAGGGAGCCCTCTGGGAACGGAGCCGAGGAGCGCGTGGAGGAACGGGCCACCTGGGCTCTCCTGGAGGCCAGAGCGAGAACTTCTGCACCTGGCCCAAGGTGAAGGCCTGCGAGGCAGGGGATGCTTAGGACAGCGGCCACCGAAGGCCCACGCCTGTGACTCGCTGTGGTGGGGGCTGAGCGGTGCTAAACGGAGGGGCCCCCCCCAGGAAGGCTGCCAGCCGGGGAGGAAAGCTGGGGGTGTTGGTGCCCAGGCTGGGAGACGTGAGGCAGTGATGGGAGAAGGGGCCACCAGCCAGGCCAGCACCACGGGGAGGAGTCACGGGAGGAGTGGGGACACACCGGAGCCCCAGACACCCCCCCAGAGGAAGGGCACGTCACATCCGAGGATTCACTGATGACTGTCCCCTCAACTCAAGAGGAACTGGATTCCTGGGTCACCCTCAGCTCCACAGAGGAGCAGGAAGGGACTTGACCCTTGTGGGGCACAGGGCACAAGAGACCAGGACCCCGCACCCTAACCAGCCCTCAAAGGGAAGACACAGGGTCCCCTGAAGGGGGGGTGGGTACCACAGACCCAAGTCACGCTTGGCGCGCCTCCCGGGCTGTCACCAGGAAGGCTGGTGTGGGTAGGGGCCCTGGGACTGACAATGGCCAACAGAATGGACCTGGCCACAGCTGCCGCCCCCCAAAGAGAACTAACGCTCTGGTGTTTGGCATCAGCAAAAGAAACCTCCCGGCGGAGGTGCTCCTTTCTCTCGGTGACGAGGACGTTGGGGTGGGCGCTGGGGGTCATATGCCCTCCTCCAGCTCCAGCTCCTAGGCGGGCTTTCTGAGAGCGCCTGGACAGGGAAGAGGCCAGCAGAAGACGAGGCACCGAGGAGAGCCAGGTAAGCACCCACGGCTTCGCCCTGAGCCTGCCCACCCACCCAGCTGTGCACATGCGCAGAGCCGCCCCTGGGCCAGCGCTCCGTCCACACCCTTCTCGCTCACACGGGGGGGGGGGTGCCCCTTGCCCTGTCCCCCACCCCCCTGCACCAGGGCACCAAAGTTCTGCGGAAGAGGCGTGGGGTGGGGGCTGGGGAGTGCTGGTGGCAGACGAGGCTTGGTGCCACCGCTCTGCGAGGTTGGCACTCGAGGTTCTTTCTGGCTCCTCTCGGCTCTGGGACATGCCCTCCTCGTTCGTAGAAAGGACACAGCACCAGGTGTGGGAGGGGGTCCCACGCCAGCCTCCTGCTGAATCACAGAGCAAGGACCCCCCGGCTGGCCCCGGGTCCTGTCGCGCTGCCCACTGAAGGCGGTGGGGACCCTCTTCTGCCCTGGTCACGGGGTCACCGCCCCTCCTCCTCGGCCAGCCATCTTCAGGAGCCTGGACCCAGGGCCCCAGAGGGGCGTCCTTACAAAAATAACTCTGAGCCTGTCCCCAGCGGGAGCAGGTTCCTGAGAGCACGCGGGGCAGGGCCGAGTCCGCGCGGAGGGGCCGGCAGGGGGCGCTCCTGCCCAGGGCCGGGGCTACGGCTGCAGCCGCTCCAGGTACTGCGGCAGGGGGTTCTCCTTGACGTACTTCTGGATGTACCAGCACGTGAGATGGGCCTTCAGGTCCTCCTCCACCACAAAGTCCAGGGCAGCCTGGGGACCGCGACAGAGGAGAGAGTGGGTGGTCAGAGCCCCCAGCCTGAGAAGGTGGCGGYCGCCCACCTCCTCGGCATCCCCCATGTCCTACAGCAACCCTCCCCCTTGGCCCACGTCAGGGGGTCTCTTCCCAGGTGACTCAGGATAACCCCCTTCCCAAGCCTGAGCCAGGAAGCAGAGGCTGTGGTGGGTGAGGGGGAGCCCCGACAGAGGGTCCAGCTGAGCCTGGGAGCAGRCCTTGGGGGAAACTGAAGGCCCTTCTCGGCTCCAGGAGCAATCGCCCTTATGAAGCTCAGACCTACAGTCCAGGCAGCCTGAGGTTTCAGGGGCTTTGAGGACGAACAAAGTCGGGGGGTGGGTTGGGAAAGGGCCATGAGCCCAATGACCTGGCTGTTCATCCATCTGTCCCCCCCCMCCCCCCAGAACTTACTGAGCAGCTACTATGTGCCAGGTCTGGGGCCCTGGGACAGAATTAGGCTGTGGTAACCTTGGAGAGGTGTCTGCAGCAGGGCTCTGCCCATCAGGACCCTGGGCCCCAAGTGACTGCCACTTCCCTCAGGAGGGCCAGGGAGCGTAGAGTGCTGCCCAACACCCCTACTGCCCACCATGACCCGCTGGCCATGAAGACCTGTGGGTCTATACTCTGGCGAAGAAGCATGCAGCATTCAGTCAGGCTGTTCCTGGCGACTGACTGAATGGGAGGGTAGCTGTCCCCAGGGACTCCCACCTGCCCATGACCCTACCTTGGCGAGGTGTTTGGCAATGCCACGCCCGCGGTAGGCGTCCGGTACCTCGGTGTGTTGCAGGTCCACGATCCGTTTGCCCACATACTCATAGAGCAGGACGGCCCGGTCATGACACCCTGAGGATGAGAGAGGCAAACAGGTTGAGGCCCGGTCAGCCCCGGCCAAGAGTCCTACAGGGCCCAGGAGAGGACACTGGGCCCTTTTTACTTTTTGAGACAGGGTCTTGATTAAGTTTTTTAGCCCTTGCTATGTTGCTGAGGCTGGCTTTGAACTTGGGATCCTCCTGCCTCAGCCTCCTGAGCTGCTGGGATGACAGTCGCGTGCCACAGTGCCTGGCTCAGTCCCAGTTTTTAGTTACACGTCCTCCGTCTGTCCACCTAACCATCCTTCCATCCGCTCACCCATCTATCCTTCCATSCATCCACCCACTCACGCAGATAGCCACCCTTCCGTCCTCCCATCGTGGGGTCTATGGAGCCCGGGGAATGGTTTCATCCATTGGTTGGTCCCTTCATTTGTAATGGGAGTTGAACCCAGGGTGCTTGACCACCGAGTTCCATCCCCAGCCCTCTTTATTTTTTAATTTTCARTTTCCCAGGTTGGCCTTGAACTCCAAGTTCTTGTGCYCGAGCCTCCCACGTGGCTGGCATGTGACAGGCATGTGCTCTCAAGGCTGTCCCAAGCCCTCCAATGTCAGGGAGTTCCCTGTGCATGAAGGAGAGAAATCCACTGGGTGCGGGAGGGTCAGGGCCATTACGCTGGGGGCAGTCGGGAGGAGCCCTCCCCGGAAAGCTCCCTGAGCTGAGATGTGTGAACACGAGCAGGAAATGACTGAGGGAAGAGAGGAGGAAGGACAGGTAGAGGGCGCGGCCAGTGTGAGGTTGGAAGACACCATYCTTTGGCTCCCCCCAAAAAATATCAACATCAAGTTGTCTTTCTCCGCGTTTTAAGAGCCAATCGTATTTCACGTATTTTTCACTTGAAAGGAAAAAAAAATTGCATTTTACATGGCTTAACGTTAAAGCACCAGAGAATTTGCTCCTAAATTCTGCTTGGGTGGCCAGTCTTGCTGTGCAGCCAGCTGTCACAAAGGGAAGAAGAGATCCAATGAGCCACCCAGGGTCCTAAAAGCAAATCAGACCCCAGAACAGGATCCCACCCCCATTTGTCAGGCTTTCTGGCCCCTGAAACCCCTTGAGTCTCCCCAACTCCAGGAGGGAGGCTCCCCAGCCAGCTCCCAGGTTCCTCGGGCAGCTGAGGAAAGTGCGTCGTAGAGTCAGGGGGTCACACAGCAGGTTCAAGGTGATACAGGGACCAGGCCTGATTCCCAAGCCAAGTTCATTCCCCTGCCCCACCAAGGCAGGCCCCTGGCTTCCTGCCACTAAGCCTTTGCTTGGGCAGTTCCTGGTCCAGAATGCTCTCCCCCAGCCCATCCTCTGCCCCAGGTGCCCGGCACTGGCGCCCCCTCCTGGCCTGACCGTTGTTCTGTGGGCTATGCCTACCGCCCTGGCCAATGCCCAGCGGCAACTTCCATGGCCACCTCTGCCCCAGCTGTACCCCACAGGACTTGGTCCTCAGGGCTGCATCTGCTGGGCTTAACTCCGCCCCCTTGGGACAGGCAAGCAGCCATGAGAAGCTATTTGGGACTGACCTGATCCCTGGGGCAGCTGCCCACTACCCTATTTAATTACTCCAAATTCACTGAGGGCCTACTCTGTTCAGGCAGAGTATGGGGTGCTGAGCCGTGAACAAAACTAACAAAATCCTCCCGCGTGGAGGCTCTGTTTCAGTAGAGCAGACAGGTAACAAACAATAATTATTACAAATGACTCAGGATTCTCAAGTGATGGGTATCTGTGTGCTATTCTAGGACATTATAGCAGAGAAGGGGCAGGGATTTGGGGGTGGGGGGGCGCCGCTGTAAAGAGAGTGTACAGGGGAAGTTTTTTTCTTGTGCAAAGACTAGAAGGAATGAGGGGAGATCTAAAGTATGAACAGGTTAAGTAGCGAGAACAGCAGGTGCAGAGGTCCTGGGGTAGGATATTCGAGGAACAGCAAGGAGGCCAGAGTGGCTGAACCTGAATGAAGCAGGGACAAATCAATCCCACCCTCCTCCTTCCTAGGAAGACGGAGATTCAAATCGAGATCATAGCTGGTTCTCAAAAGTTAAAGGTCAGGGCTTGGGCGTGGCTCAGAGATAGAGTGCTGGCCGGGCCTGTGGGAGCTACCAACTGACCAACCAGCCAAATAAAAGCAGTTAAAGTCCCCCTGCTAATGGGGACCTTCCCGTGGCTCTTTACCCCAGTGCCCTGTGCAGCATCAAAGGGCCCAGCAAGTCCTCAGGGAAGGCAGTCACAGGGAGTCACAAAGGCACAGAGGACCAGGGGTGCTGGGGGGAGGGGGTCTTGGTGATTGGGGCTGGAAACGGTCCCCCATGAGGCCAGGCGCTGTATTCTCCACCCTGCAGGGTGCTGGGGGAGGCCAGAGGCCTTATAGACTCTTGGGGGGCCTCGGGCTTCCTATCTGCAAATCAGGATTGTGGGACCCTGGGTGATCCTGCTCCTTGCAGAAAGATGGACACTCAGCCCTGGCGGAGGGAGGGAAAGACGGACACTCACGGGGCCCCTGGAGTATCCACCTGCTTGAGAGTCAAAGCCAAATTCATATAAATTCACACTCCCAAGGCCCTGCGCCGTCTGCTCACCATGATCTCAGCCCCTCTTCCTACCCTCTTCCTACGCGCACCAGGCAGCACAGGGCCTTTGGACGTGATGTTCCCTTGTCTTGGAACATTCTTTGCTGCGGCCGCTCAGTTTCTTGCTACTTTCTTTCTCCGTTTCTTGGGAGGAGACCTTCCTGGACACCTGATTTGAAACAGCAGCCTCGCTCCTCCACACCCGCCAATCTTCCCTGCGCCCCTGCTCCCCAGAGCGCTACTTGTCTAGGAGACTTCACAATTCACCTATCATCCACGCTCCCCCTCGACGCTATCAGCTCCAAGAGTCCCTAGCACCTTGAAGAGCGCTGGCACGCAATAGGTGCTCAATAAAGAGTTGTGGAACAAATCCCAGCTCCTCCACATCTTGGAGGCAAGACTTTGGCCAGCATCATTTATCATCTGTAAATGATACTCAGAACCAGAGCTCGCAGGAAGATAAACAGCCCAGCTCTGCCACAGGGAGACCCTGAGGAATAAGCCTTCTCTGGAGGCCAGGGAAATGACAGTCCCAAATGGTCCTGCACTGCCAGCCCCCGACCGCTTGACAGCTCAGACTCAGTGCCCACATCTGTTAATGGGCACAGGGGYACCAGCCTCCGCCTTCCTTATAGGCACCAGGAGACCCTCTGAGTCTGTGCCCCTCCAGCTTGGGCAGGCCAAGCTGGTCACACACATCAGCCCTCAAATATACCCAGCCCCAGGCCACCTGTACACCCTGAGGCCAGCCCTGGGCTGGGCTGTGCCTGTATTGGTGACTTCAAAAGGAGCTGCCAGCTTCCCTCTGGGAGGATCCCTGGCCACACCTATAGTTAGCCACAGGGCAGTAAGTTCCAGAAGGAGACAAGTAGAAGAATATGGTTGGATGACAGCCAGCCCCCAGTAGGGTTGTACCTTTGCCTGTAGCCATTTGGGGGAAAAAAAAAATCTCAAACATCCCTTTTTCTTTCTCTCTGCAAGTCTACTGGGCCTCCTGAGCCAACCAGAGGAACCAGAACCCCCTGGAAGTCAGAAAAACCTCAAAAGAGAGGATCTGAAAAGCCACAAGGCTCTCCCCACAAAAGTGGCCGGAACACTGAATGTCATTGCCAATTGGGCCACAGCCAGAACCACAGCAGAAAGACTCGCTCCTATGAGGGAAGACTGTGTGACAGGGTCAGCAGGGCCCAGATCTGAGCTTTCGCCTCTGGCCCCAGGTGACGCCAAGCAAGACACTTCCTGCAGCTCTAAACTCAATTTGCTTATCTGTAATGTGGGGTAGTGTGTCATCACACACTTCAGGGACATGGTGACAGTTGCATCAGAAGGCCATGGAGGTGGCAGGGCCTAGCTCCATGCTGCAGGATGTCCAAACAGAAGTCCCAGGCCCCTCCTGTGACGGCCACAAGTGCCCAGTGGCTGGAGCCAAGCAGAATGCTGTTCTGCTGCGACCTCAGCTCAGAGGCTGACCACCTCTGGGCCTCCATCTTTCCCTCTTGGAAATGGGCACAGTGGCCTCTCAGAGCCTTGGGCAGTATCAGAGAGAGCTGAGCTGGGGGTGGGATGTGGAGAGTTCACGGTCCTCAACTTCATAACCTTTCTTTCCAACTTCTAGGGGGAAGGGGATGTGGGCTGGTAAAAAAAAAAAATCTCTCTACAGGAATCAAGGACTTGACCTTGTTTTCTGGTTCATAATAATAATAATAATAATAATAATAATAATGCTCAGGGGGCTGGGATTGTGGCTCAAGCGGTAGAGTGCTCGCCCTGGCACCTGCTAGACCCGGGCTCGATCCTCAGCACCACGTTAAAATAAATAAATAAAGGCATGGTGTTGTGCCCATCTACACCTAAAAAATAAATATCAAAAAATAATAAAAACTAGGGGCTGGGGATGTGGCTCAAGCGGTAGCGCGCTCGCCTGGCATGCATGGGGCCCCGGTTCCATCCTCAGCACCACATACCAACAAAGATGTTGTGTCCGCCGAGAACTAAAAAATAAATATTAAAACAATAATAAATAAATAAATAAATAAAATAAAGATATTGTGTCCACCTAAAACTAAAAAGTATGTATATTTTTTAAAAAATAATGCTCCGTCCACATTTTTAGGAGCCTTGCTCTGAACCCCGTGCGCGGCTCCGTCCTTCCMGTCCAGTGAAGTGTGCGCTACTCCCCGAAGCACTCAGGAGAGACAGGCCGAGTGGCCGTGTCCCAGAGTCACCTCATGGTCACCCTCCCCACACAAACCCATGTCTCACTCCCGGCGCGGGCAGAGCGCCCTCCCCGTCAGCCCCCGGTGGCAGGAGCGCTCCGGGGGCAGATTCTAGTGCAGGATAAGAAGCTCCCGTTCCCGGGCAGCCACCAGCCCCGGAGCCACCGGGGGAAGGGGGCAGGTCCCCGACGCCGGAAGGCAGGCAGCCGGGCGGCGCAGGTGGAGTCCCCTGGTGGCTCGGACGACGCGCTCCCGGGCTCCGCACCGCGTCCCCCCCCCGCCCCGGGCAGCCCGGCCCCGCGCCCCCTCGGCCCCGCGCCCGCCCCGCGCGCCGTCCCTCCCCGCCCGCCCGGCCCCGGGGCCCCGCTCCCCCGCTCCGGGCCGCTCGGCAGACAAAGGGCGGGGGCGCCGTTACCGTTGAGGCGCACGGTGAACTGGCGGCGCCGGCGGTCGTGCTCCACGCGGATGGGGCAGCCCTGCTCCAGCGCGCCGAGCGGCACCGCGGCCGCCGAGTGCGCCATGGGCCCGGGCCGGGCCGCGCGGGTCGGGGGCTCCGGGCACGGGAGCAGGGCGGCTGCGGGAGCGGGGCGGCCGCGGGGGAAACCCAGCCGAGAGAGACCGCAGGCGGCGGCGCTGAAACTGACACTCGGCGGCGGCCGCGGCGGCAGCAACAAAAAAAAAAAAAAAAAAAAAGGAGGAGCGGGGGGGGGCGGGGGAGGGCCCCGGAGGCGGCCAGGAAATCAGCTGTGAGGTCACGTGCGGCGCGCAGCCAATGGGCGCGCGGCCTTTTTGTTTTGATACATTCCATTCGACTCTTAAAGGGGCCGCGCGCCCCCACGGGCGGCGTTCCACTTTCGCAGCCCCAAACAAAACACCGCGCTCTCCTCGGCGGCSGCCCGAGCTGCTCTTCCCTCGGGTGGGGTTCTACCGGCTTCTCTAGGATTCCACCCCTCCCCCCCCGCCCATGGACCCTTCTCAAAGATGTTTATAACAACCTGTAGGAATATTCTAATCAGTCACCACGACCAGCATCATTTATTAAGCGCTTGTTGTGTGCACGGCTTGTGCCTAGCCCTGTTCACGCAGGAAGCACGCTGTAAGGAGTCCCCTGGGCTCAGGTAGAATTCTCACCACTAGCTCGAGAAATAGGTATGCCTGGCTCCATTGCACAGGTGCGCAAGTCGAGGCCCGGAGCCGAGAAATGCATCCCGAATTCACAGGGTGGATGCTGGAGGGGGCTCAGGTGGTGCCCATCCATCTGTGAGCAGCTGTGGGATGCTGGGGTGGGATGAGTCCCAAAGGGTAGGGGCGAAATGCCACCTCTGTGAAAGAAGGGCAGAAATTCCTGGGAATCCCTGGTTCCACTGCACAGATGGGGTGGGGTCTGGCGGGAGTGGCGGAGGGGGGGGGGCACAGAGTTCTAGAAAGAGGCGGGAACTTTTCTTGAAGACCCAGGACCCTTGGGGCCCCCCAGACTGCTTATTGGAAAGGGGACTTAACCCGTCGTCCCCTCTCCCCTCGGACCCCAGACTTTTCCTCGTGGGTGTCTGAAGTTTGGCTGTGTCTGCCCACTTGAAAGCACACAACTGCTGGTTACTTTTATTGTTTTGTTAATTAACGCATCAACTTGACATTCACACCCAGGTGCCCACCATCCAAAGGGTTCACTAGGGTCGCCTTTCCAATCAGTGCCCAACCTGGGCAGTAACCACGGTCCCTGAGTTTTAGCATTAAGGACGGAAGAGCTTTTTTCCTAGAACACCCTTTAAACAGAATCAGACAAGATGTCCAGTTTTTTTTTTTGCCCAACCTCTATCTGAGATGTGTCCATGCTGTGGCTTGTATCTTTGTTATAACTAAGTCCTCCATTGTGCGCACGTGACGCTTTATTTATCTGTTCACATGTTGGAGGGCATTTGAGTTGTGTTTGGGGACTATCATAAACAAACATGGTGTGAACATTCTTGGGGCATCTTTTAGGATCTGCAAACGGAGCATTCCCCTTGGGTAGTAGCCACCTGCAATGGATTTTTTGGATGTTATAGTGGCTGTCGGTGTCCTTTTGTGAGTAGCTGCCAGACTTTTTTTTTTTTTTTTTTTCCCAAAAGTGGTCGAACCATTTTAGCTTCTTACCAACAATTTTGAGAGTTTTGTTGGGTCTTTTTAAATTGAGTCATTCTGGTGAGCATGAAGTGCATTCTTGCTGGGGCTTTAATTGCCTGGTGACTGATTGTGCCCCGCCCCTTTCTTTCTTTTCTTTATTAGTGATTGAACCCAAGGTCTCCCCGAGTGCCAGGCAGGAGCCCTACCACAAGGTACACTCAAGGTACACTCAAGCCTCTTTTCATATACACCTTGGCTATTTGGATAGCAATTTTTGTGAACACTTCTGCCCATAAAGTTTTTACCTTTGGAATTATTGTCATTCTTTTTATTGTTAGATACTTTWAAAAAAATTTTTTGGAGGGGATACCAGGGATCGAACTCACGTGCACTCGACCACTGAGCCCCATCCCCATCCCTATTTTGTATTTTATTTAGAGACAGGGTCTCCCTGAGCTGCTTAGTGCCTCGCTTTTGCTGAGGCTGGCTTTGAACTTGAGATCCTCCTGCCTCTCCCCGCAGAGGGTGCACTTGGGGTGGATCCCAGGTGTGTGCCACTGAGCCAGGCCAGACACTTTGTTTTTTGTTTTACAAGTGTGTTATGGAGTTTCAGGGAGTTTGGAAACAAAACAAGATGAGTCATTACTTACAAGGAGATGCAAAAGGATTCTGGGGTCAGAGAGGGCCTTGACCTCAACTGAGTCAGGGCTGGCTTCCGTCCTGAGCAAGGGAGATAAGACCTTGTGTGTCTCAGGTGACTTCCCTGCCTCCAAAGAACTGAAATGGCTGGAGAGGCCAGAACATGCTCCTAGAAATTTCGTGAGCGGGCGGCTTCCCTGTCTCTAAGCCTTTGCATGTGCTGTTGCCCACACAGCACCTCCTCCCAGAAGCCCTCATCTTTGCCATCACATTTATTTACACAGTRTCTGCGTCTGTCCTCCCCACCCTCAGCCTGGACTTGGGAGATTTCTGTCTGATAAATCCCTGCCAAGGCCCTGGATGCGCATGCTCCTGGGGAGGTCATGGTTCAGACAGTGTGGCCAGGACAGAGCTCAGCTCAGATGGGCTCTTTTGATGAAAGACTTGAGGAAGGTAAAGGAGTGAGTCTGGTGGAATTGAGGGAAGAGCAGTCCGGATACTGAGTGCAGCCAGTGCAAAGACCCTGGGGTATGTTTAAAGAACACAAGGAATGTAGAATGGCCGGGGGCAGTGGGTGGGGATGAGCCTAAGAGGTGGAGGGGGGCAGAATGAGGAGCCTTGGSCTTTGACTCTGAGATGGGAGGGAGCCATTGGAGGGTTTGGTGGGGGGGAATCTTAGTTTAAAAGAGCAGTCAGGTGTAGTGTCACATGCCTGTAATCCCAGGAACTTGGGAGGCTGAGGCAGGAGGATGGCAAGTTTGCAAGTTCAAGGCCAGCCTCAGCAACTTAACAAGATGCTGCCTAAAAAAATCCAAAGGAGTGAGTTTGGAGCTCAGTGGTAGAGCACTCCTGGGTTCGATCCAGGAACAAAACAAACAAAAACCCCATAAATCAAAGGAGTGTTTACATATATTAAAAATGCCTCCCTTTTAGCCTGTTGTTCTGCAAATTTTTGTCAAACACATCTGGCCACTGAGCCTCGCTCACCACCCAGTTACACAACCGCTCATCTCCCCGGGGCCTGGTGCTCCTTTCAACCCCTCCCCCACCCCACCCGACCTGTTTTTCTGTCTTTATTGTTTTGCTCTTTTGCAAGGATGTGCGTGCGACCTGGGTCCCCAGGACTGGCTTCCTTCACCCTGCACCGAGCAAGCCTTGTGACTTGGGTGTCCTGCAGAGCAGCACTGTCCTTTTCCAGGCCTGTATAGGATTCCAGGAGCATGTATGACAGCCTCCATTTTGAGGACCCCACATGGGCATGGACCTGGAGGGGAGGAGGAGGAGGCAGAGGACCCCAGCCCTGGGCCCCACACTGTGGCCAATGCCTACAGCCATGTCTTTTCTGATCTCATAGTGACACTGTGTGTGTGTGTGTGGGGGGTGGTGGTGATAGTCTTGGGTCACAGAGTCAGATTAGCCTCCGGGAGTGGGAGGTCTCTGGACTTCCTGAGGGCACTTGACCTTAGGATCTTGAGGCCAGCTTCCCTGGCCTCCAAAGCCTCTAGCTCTCTCTCCCCTGGGGCCCCAAGTTTCCTATCTGTGAGCAGAGCCGGGAACATAARTGACTTTTTCTGGTGTCCAGGTATCCTGGGGTTGGAGGCTGAGCCCTGCCCTGGCTCATCTGTCCTGGGCCTGCTGTGTGATCTCAGGCTAGCCACAGGCCCTCTCTGGGCCTCCTCTTCCTCCCACAAGGTTCCTGCAGCCCTAGCTGCTTCCTGAGCTGCCCACCAGGAAGATGGATTGGCTCAGCCAGACCTGGGCTGAGCATGGGTGGGCTGGTGGGTGGGTGGCCTGCCCTGGTCACCAGCAGGGCATTCTTCTCAGTGAGCTCCTCCCCCTGCCCCTCCCAAACTGCCACACCCACGCTCTGTTCCTTTTAATGCCTTTACTGTCTTTTCTTTCCATTAGAAGCATGAGAGATGCTCATTTAAAATGTTCAGGAAAATAGGAATGTATTAAGAAAATGAAAGTCCCTTCTAACATTGTTTTTTTTTTAATGGTACTAGGGATTGAACTCAAGGCTCTAAGCATGTTAGGCAAGTGCTCTGTCACTGAGCCACATCCCTTTTTATTGTATTTTGAAATAAGTGGTCCGGTCTGGCTTTAAACTTGGGATCCTCCTCCTCAGYCTCCCAGGTAGCTGGGATYACAGGCATGCACATCCCCCACCGTGCCCGGCCCTCCTAAACCCACTGCACTGTTGATGTTTTCCCCCTGTGTGCAGACAGCCACCGAGTCTTGTAGTTATTCATTAATTCAGTCACTCATTCAATGCTTATTGAGCAACTATTGTGTGTTCTGGATTCTGGGAATGCAGGGCTGATAATAAGACACAGCCCCTGCTCATATGGAGATCTTTACACCCAAACAGGATGTTTTTATATTCCAACAAAAGTGTTAGGAAGTCATAATAGAATTATTCTCGGGGCTGAAGGTGTAGCTCAGTGGTAGAGCGCCGGCCTAGCACGTGCAAGGCCCTGGGTTCGATCCTCAGCACCACATAAAAATAAATAAAATAAGGGCATTGTGTCCACCTACAACTATATATATATATATATATATATATATATATATATATATGAATTATTCTTAAGAACATTTTTAAGTTTCATTTGGATGAGGTAATTGCTACAGTTTGTACGTTCAATGCTCCCCTAAGGCCGCTGAGCTAAAGACTTGGTCCCCAGTTTGGAATCACTAGAAGGTGGTGGAACTTTAAGAGGTGGAGCTTAGAGAAGGTCGTAGGTCACTGGGGGCACACCCTGGAAGGGGATTATGGGACCCTAACCCCTGCCCTGCTCTCTTTGTTTTTTGGCTTCTTGACCAGGATGTGACTGGTTTTGCTGTCACACAGTACCTGCCCTGAGCTTCTGTCTCCCTACAGCCCCCAAATTAAGGGA